GAACTGATGACGGCACGGTTTGATCTTCGGCTGACCAATCAGCAGAAAGGGGCATTTAATTCCCGCCCATGTGTAGAAATCGAATATTCATGCTGTTTATTCATTTTTCCACCCATGAACGAAAAATGAAAATTTAAGATGAATTCTCGTTTTTTGTTTTTTTGGAAAGAAACAAAAAAATGAAAAAGGAGCCGTTTTCTCATTTTTCTACTTTCAATATTAAATCAAAAAACGAATTATCGAATGATACACGGATTTTAATACATCAGTACAAGTACGAGTACAAGTTTTTGTTGTTTTGTGAATATGTCCATATAGTTTTTATTACTTTTTATTGATTAGTTTTAGTTATTTTGGTACTTCCTTAAACTAAACAAAAATGAGAATTGCTGAAATAAAACTGAAGTAAAATAGGTTGATTTTTTTGTTTTGTTTTTGTATTTAACTTTATTTCAAGTAACAAAAATATTTTTATGGTTTTAGTTAATATGTAAAAAATATATATGATTTTTTTTTAACAAAACAGATTTTGTTTCAGTAAATTAAGTTTTGTTTTTGTCAATATGTCTATATAGATTTTGTTCATTTTTATTTATTAGTTTACTTAGATTTACTTATTTTAGTAATTCAAGTTAAACTAAACAAAACTGAGAACGTCTGAAATAAAACTGAAGTAAAATAATGTTTAATTTTTTATTTTATGTCAGTTTCAAGTACTATTTCAAGTAACGTAAATTATTTTTTAATGGTTTTAGTTAATATATAATGTATATTGGTCAAAGACGAAAAAGGGTTTAAACATAAAAACAATACTGCTTTAAATTGTTGTTTTTCAAAAAAATAAAATAAAATTTAAACATTTTCTGTTTAATGTAATTGTATTTTTGTTTTTGTTTTTCTGAGCAAAAAACAAATATCATAAATTTTTCCCCTGATTTACAGAAGACCCACTAAAATGTCATTCAGTGTAACAATCTTGTCAGGCATATTTACAACAAAAATCAATTTATGACTTTTAATATTAAAAGACTAATTACTTTCACCCCAAATACTAATTAGTTGTTATTTTACATTTTTAAAATGTGCCACTATCCTAGGCTTTGCCCATTTGTCAGTAATCATTTTTTACTCATTTAAAACCCAATAAAATGTAATATGCTCACTTATTCTTTTATATATTTAAATATGTACACGTCAGAATAAGCATGTTGTTTGAATTTTTACATAAATACAAGTGTTACACATTTTACATTTTATTCTCCAAAAACTTATTTGGAACCTTAAAAGTAGACACTTTACTTACATTTAATGTGCTTTCTATGGACATATAATCACTTTTTGTGATTTTTCCTCTCTGTACAGTAAGTTACAGTAAGTGTTTATGAGAGACAGCTCATGATGCTCATATACAGTATATATATGCACCTACCGAATCCATTCTGGTGTCTTGTCTCTGGTCTCCAAAGATGAAGTAGAACCAGGCCATGGTGGCGAACGAGTTCAGGATGAAGGAGGTGAACATGTTTTTATGAAGAGTGATTCGCTGGCAGCTCAAACACCTGCGCAGACACCAGCCATTCACTTACACTGCCAGCCAAAACCTCTCCAACAGCAAGATTTTACAGAACTCTCTTCTGCTCAGTGTATAATGTTACAAAAGCTTTTTATTTGAGATTAATGCTGAATCTGAAATGCATGATAAATGCAAAGAATCCTGAAAAAAAAAAACTTACTCAACTGTTTTAAATATTGATAATAAAAATAATAATAATTAATGTTTTTAGGGCCCTAGAAATCAGTTTTATTTTTTCCCCAAATTCCATTTTAAATTTCCATTTTATAATTTCACAAATTCAGTTTTACTTTTCCACTTTAGCGGTTAAATTAAGTCACTTTTTGTGATTTTTCCTCTCTGTACAGTAAGTTACAGTAAGTGTTTATGAGAGACAGCTCATGATGCTCATATACAGTATATATATGCACCTACCGAATCCATTCTGGTGTCTTGTCTCTGGTCTCCAAAGATGAAGTAGAACCAGGCCATGGTGGCGAACGAGTTCAGGATGAAGGAGGTGAACATGTTTTTATGAAGAGTGATTCGCTGGCAGCTCAAACACCTGCGCAGACACCAGCCATTCACTTACACTGCCAGCCAAAACCTCTCCAACAGCAAGATTTTACAGAACTCTCTTCTGCTCAGTGTATAATGTTACAAAAGCTTTTTATTTGAGATTAATGCTGAATCTGAAATGCATGATAAATGCAAAGAATCCTGAAAAAAAAAAACTTACTCAACTGTTTTAAATATTGATAATAAAAATAATAATAATTAATGTTTTTAGGGCCCTAGAAATCAGTTTTATTTTTTCCCCAAATTCCATTTTAAATTTCCATTTTATAATTTCACAAATTCAGTTTTACTTTTCCACTTTAGTGGTTAAATTAAGTGTTAGTAAACAAAAAAAGCATGTTTCATTAGTTGGAATAATGAAACTAATACAATTTATCAGCAATTTATTGAAAAGTTAACAAAAAATACATTTTAGGGCTCTAGAAATAAATTTGTTTTTTTTTCCAAATTTTTGTTTTCATTTTAATTGTTTTAATTGTTAAATTAAGAGTTAGTAATCAAAAAAAGAATGACTAATTGGTTGAAATTGTTAATTTTAAACTAATTTAATAGCAATTTAATAAAAAGGTTAACAAAAAAAATTTGAGCAGTAAATCAGAATATTAGAATGATTTCTGAAGATCATGTGACACTGAAGACTGGAGTAATGATGCTGAAAATACAGCTTTGATCACAGAAATAAATTACAGTTTAAATGATATTCAAATAGAAAGCATAGAATGATTTCTGAAGGATCATGTGACTGGAGTAATGATGCTAAAGCTCTGCTTTGAAATCACAGGAATAAATTATATTTTCAAATAGAAAACAGTTATTTTAAATAGTAAAAATATTTCAAAATGTTACTGTTTTTGCCGTATTTTGGATCAAATAAATGCAGGCTTGGTGAGCAGAAGAGACTTCTTTAAAAAACATAAAAAATCTGTTCAAAAAGTTTTGACTGGTAGTGTACATCATACAACGATCCACTACTGTCTCTGTCTCGAAGCCATGTTTTCTGCTCTATTGACAGAAACATCATCAGTCTTCATGACGTACTTGAAGTGTGAGAAGATGCAGATGGAGATGAACAGCGATATGATGGACAGCCCCTGTCCCACCATCACCAGATAGTAATTCACTAACATGAGCTGCAGGAGAAACACACACACACACGTCATGGCAGGTAGGATTATGTATTATTGATTTAATGTGTAAAAGTGAAGCTCTGACCTCGAGTTTCTGTTTAGTGTACGCTGAGCACTGCGTGTAATTGGACCACAGACGGTTGCTTTCCGGATGATGAAACCACTGACCGTCCGAGTCACACACTTTGGTCACTTTCTCTGATGGAACGCAATGAGAAACGTCACACATTTCATTTGGGAAAATTGTTTGCCCAATTCGCTTTTTTTCCATTTAGATTCTTTTTTTGTTATTATTTTAATTCTCTTTTAATGGTTAAATTAAGTGCTATTAATCACTTAATGTGCAATTAATTGAAATCATGAAATAATTTAACAACAACTAATTAAAAGTTAAATAAATAAATAAAGTCATTTTAAGGGCCCTAGAAATAAGTTGTATTTTTTAAAATTCCATTTTAATGGTTAAATTAAGTGCTATCAATCAAAAAGCCAAAAAGTCAATTTAATTAACTGAAATCATGAAACAATTTAACAAAACTAATTACAAGTTTAATTTAAGTAAATTAAATTAAATTAAACAAACAAGCAAATACTGTAAATAAACAAATGAATGAATGAATGAATGAATGAATGAATGAATGGAGTGTCATTTTTAGGGCCCTAGAAATCAGTTAAATTTTTTCCCCAAATTCAATTAGAATTTTTCCATTTTATTATTTCACAAATTCAGCTTTACTTTTCCACTTTAGTGGTTAAATTAAGTGTTAGTAAACAAAAAAAGCATGTTTCATTAGTTGGAATCATGAAACTAATACAATTTATCAGCAATTTATTGAAAAGTTAACAAAAAAAAATTTGTAGGGCTCTAGAAATACATTTGATTTTTTTCCAAATTCTTTTTTTTTTTTCATTTTAATTCTGTTTTAATGGTTAAATTAAGAGTTAGTAATCAAAAAAGCATGACTAATTGGTTGAAATTGTTAATTTTAAACTAATTTGATAGCAATTTAATAAAAAGGTTAACAGACATTTAATTTTTAGGGATTTTGAAATCTGTTTTATTCCATTTTTATTTTTCTGGATTATGATTTAATTTAATTTTAATGATCAAAAAGCATGTCTAATCAATTAAATTCATAAAAATGTAACAATTTAATAATTTGTATTTACCAATTTAATTTATTAAAACAGTTATACAATAATAGGGCACTATAACATTTTTATTGTATATCAAATTCAGTTTTTCCCATTTTAGTTCTTCTATTTTTTCTTTACATTTTTTCAATTTAACAACAATTTATTAAAAGTTTAACAAAAATAAACTTATTTCCCCCCCAAATTCTGTTAAATTTTTTCTGGATTAATAATCAAAAAGCATGTCTAATCAGCTGAATTCATAAAACTTTAACAATGTAATAAATTATTGAGAATTTTACAATAATAGGGCCCTATGACATTTTTTTTTTATTTACTTATTTTTTAGAAATTCTGTGTTGTGTATTTTCATTTTTCTG